CAGGGAAGTGCGTTGTGCTCTGGTGACATACTGCACTCCTGGTGGGCAACCCGTCTGAGTTGGCGTGGAAGCATTGATGGAGGTAACTGGGTTATCCTTCCATTGGATGGAGCTTACGAAGATTTCCTTGGGGATAATGGATTCTGGTTCCTCACTGACCTCTTCAGGAGCATGAAGGCGAGAGAGAGCATCTGCTTTCACATTCTTGGGGCCTGGACGATAGGAAATGGTAAAATTGAATATCGTGAAGCGAGAGAGGGCATCTGCTTTCACATTCTTGGGGCCAGGACGATAGGAAATGGTGAAATTAAACCTAGTGAAGAAGAGAGCCCATCTTGCCTGGCAAGGATTGAGTCTCTTGGCGTCTCGTAAGTATTGCAAGTTCTTATGGTCAGTGAGGACGCAGAATGGGTGATGTGCTCCCTCCAACCAATGCCTCCATTCCTCTAGGGCTAGCTTGATAGCCAGGAGCTCCCTGTTGCCGATGTCATAATTCCTCTCCGCCGGGTTGAGTTTGCGTGAGAAGGCACATGGATGGAGTTTGGCTGGTGTCCCCTGCTGCTGAGAAAGTACGCCTCCGACTTCTGTAGTGGAAGCGTCAACCTCAACCCCAAACTATTTATTTGGGTCTGGATGGATGAGGAGCGGGGCAGAAGTGAAGGCCTTCTTAAGTGCTTCAAAGGCCTCCGTGGCAGCTGGTGACCAGGACAGAGATTTGGGCTTATTTTGGAGCATATTCGTGAGTGGACTGGTTATGGAGCTGTAGTGGTAGATGAATCTTCTATAAAAGTTCGAGAATCCCAGGAAGCATTGAAGTTCCTTGATGGTGGTTGGAACTGGCCAGTTTCTGATGGCATCGACATGAATCTTCTATAGAAGTTTGCGAATCCCAGGAAACGTTGGAGTTTCTTGACGGTGGTTGGAACTGGCCAGTTTCGGATGGCCTCAACCTTTCCCTCGTCCATCTGGATACCACCGTCATTGATGACATAACCAAGGAACTGAACCGAGGACTGATGGAAGGAGCACTTCTCGGCCTTGAGGAACAGATGGAACTCTCTCAGGCGCTCTAGGACCTCCGCAACGTGGTGGCGATGTTCGGCCATGCTCCGGGAGTAGATTAGCATGTCATCCATGTAGACGAGGACGGACCTGTGCAGATACTCCTGGAGTACCTCGTGCATAAAATCCTGGAATACGGAGGGGGCGTTTACCAGTCCATACGGCATGACAAGATATTCATAGTGCCCAGTAGGGGTCACAAAGGCGGTCTTCCACTCGTCCCCCTCACGTATACGGATGAGGTTATACGCGCTGCGGAGGTCCAAATTGGTGAAGACGGTGGCTCCGCGGAGGTGTTCCAAAGCCGCTGGCACGAGGGGAAGTGGGTAGCGAAACTTCATGGTGCTTTTATTGAGTGCCCGGTAGTCGATGCAGGGCCTCAAACC